AGGAGAGGCCACGCAGTGCACAGCGGGTACACACGGCCTGCCCTGAGATGACCCAGCTGGCATCCGAGCCCACGCTCGGCCACTGCAGGGGACCACGCTGCCAGCTCGGCCGGAGGTGCCCAGAGCGCAGGCCCCACACACACATGTGCAAGAGCCAAACATGGGAAGTGGGTGAGCATCCAGGTGCTGCCAAAGGATAGGGGCGATCCTCTCACGGCCACACGGACACCCAGCCACCTGGCTGTGACCTGAGACATGTAGACATCGTGAAAAGTTTACCCCAATCCAGCCAAATCAGCACACCCTCCACGTCCCTCTCCTTCCTTCCTTCCTTCCTTCCTTCCTTCCTTCCTTCCTTCCTTCCTTCCTTCCTTCTCCTCCTCCTCCTCCTCCTTCTTCTCCTTCTCTTTCTTTCTTTCTTTCTTTCTTTCTTTCTTTCTTTCTTTCTTTCTTTCTTTGTCAGACATTCAAGCACCATCACCCTACCTAACCAACTTCAACCATACAACACTGCCAAGTATACTTTAACTTTATACCCTTGGAGCTTATCCGTCTTACAGCCACAAGTTTGCACCCCATCCCTCAACTCTTGACAACCACTTCTTTACTCTTTGTTTTTACGAGTTTGACTTTTTATTTTCTTTAGATTCCACATATAAATGCTACCGCACTATATTTGTACTTTGCTGCCTGTCTTCTTTCACTTAGTCTAATGCCCTCAAATTTCATGCATGTTCTTACAAATGGCAGGATTTCCTTCTGTTTTGTGGCCGAATAACATTCCACTGAATACGCATAACGCATGTATCCATCCATCCGTCAGTGGACACATTCTCCGTATTGTAGCTAATGCAAATAATGCTGCAATGAACGTACGTGCAGATATCTCTCTGGGATCTTGTTTTCATTTCCTTTGGATCTATACCCAGAAGTGGGATTACCAATTATCATATGGTTATCCCATTTTTAATGTTTTAGTGAACCTCTGTCCTGTCTTCTGTGGTGACTGCATCAGTTTACACCACCGAGAGTGCACAGGGCTCCCTTTTCTCCACATCCTTGCCAGCACCTGTTATCTACTGTCACTTCGATGCCGCTCTTTCTCTGTCATCATCTCTCTATAAACTACAGGACTCGGCTGGATGAGTGAAAGAAGACACGTAGGTTGTGTCAGGTGAGGACTAATATTGGCCTTGCCACCCAATTTCACCCAGCATTGAATTGAAGCGTAATCAAGGAGGATAAACTCCTGTTTACATTTGATAGACACCGGATATTCTAGGTTTGATATCCCCTAACTTGGCAGAACCAATGACCCTAGACCATGATATTATGAACCGTGCTTATTACCGTTAATACGGTTCTTTGAATTCTTGGAGAACATTAAACAGTGTTCTTTAACAGAATTCGGTTTTCAAAAATAAGGAATTTCACCCCCAAACTAAACACTCAATTAAAAAGCAATATTTAATTTGTTCAAGGAAATTTTTCCTTTGAACTTTTCCCTTTAGAGAACTACAAATTATATAAGATGAATGGAAAACAATTATCTTAGACCTTTCATTAAAAGCGAACTGATTCTCCGATTCCTTTCATTTGAAGATGCCTGGAGTTTAGAAATGGAGCTAGTATAAAAATCTGGGCTATCTCTTTGAATGATACTGGTGTTTGTGAGGAAGGGAAAAATCTAGCAATTTCATTCTTCTTTTGGTATGTAAAAAAATGGAAATAATATGAGTGATGATGACTGGTCTCTCAGTTTTCTCACTGGAACCTGACAAATATATTTCTCCATGTACTGCCAGTGTCCTTTTAGTGTATTCCATTCTTTTTGCCCCTTTTCTTCTCAAAAAAATATTTTAACTTCTTTTGGAGTCATGCAGGATTTACAGGCTAAGTATCTACCCACCACGTTTATTCTGGACACAAGTAGGAAGCTCTGCTAATGTTTGGGTCATGGCCTATGATAAGAACAGAACTTGGCGAGTCGTGGAAAACATCTATTTTTAGATATGCAGCATTGGAAGATGACTATTCTTTAATCAGTTTCTGGAATCTAAGGGACTAGTGACTATCCACCATCTTTAAAACCAACATGTAATCATCACCATCAGCAGCCAAAGTAATGGCAAAAATATCATCATCATCATCATCATCATCATCCTCATCTACATCAGAAATTTGCAGTTTTATTAACAAGAATTTTAGGGCTGATAAATTTTAGTTCCCAACCCTTGCTTTCTTTCCACCAAAAACAAAACTAATCTCCATAAATAGCCAAGGCAATCCTGAGATAGAAGAACAAAGCTGAAGGTATCCCACGTCCTGGTTTCAAGCTATATTACTAAGCTGTATAATCACAATAGTCTGGAATTGGCATAAAAACAGACACACAGACCAATGCAACAGGATTGAGAGCCCAGAAATAAATCCTCACGTATACAGTGAACCCACATGTGTCAAGGAGCCAAGATACCCAGTGGGGAAATGTTCGTCTCTTCAATGAATGGTGTCGGGAAAATTCAATAACCACGTGCAGAAGAATAACATTGGATTCCTATCTTGTACTCCTCACAAAGATTAACTTAAAATGAATTAGGGACCCCAAACTGTAGAGCTCCTAGAAGAAAACATAGGCACATGCTCCTTAACATTGGTCTTGGCAACACTTTTTTAATGTGACACCAAAAGCAGGTAATACTTTCATGTATCTCTAATAAAGAACACTTTTGTAAAAAGTCGTCCTTTAATTTTTCTTTTACACAAAACTGAATTTTTATACCTTGAGTTCTAGAAAGACCATAGAATCATTGTTTAAAGGCCTTCCTTGCTCTCTTCCCCCAAACTCAGAACTCAATCCTCATTGCCTATGATGTACCCAAATTGCCTTACTTTTGCCCCCCTGGAGAGTAATTCCTCCTTCTGTGTTCCCCTTCTCAAGCAGTGGCGTCACAGCCTACCTTTACCAAGTTTATTCCAGCAAAGCGTCTTCTCTACGCTTCTCTCTCTTGTCTTCAAAGTCTGATTAATCAAAAGTCCAGTTAGGTTCACACCCTCTGCCCTTCGAATTGTTGCCATAGTGAGTCTCTCAATGGCAGAACCTACCGTGCTGCTCTCCAGCTTCAGCGATTCCTAAGGTCTCTGAGACAAGCTCTACGCTCGTTGGCTGGCTTCAACAACCGTGTCTAACGCGGCCCGAGCTCTCCAGGCATCTCACTCACCACAACTCAACCCTGGCACCTGCAGTACTGACGTTTCCTGAAGGAGCCCTGCTCTCTACATACTTGGGTCTTTGAATTCATTGCTTTTTCTAATTAGAACACCTCTTATCTTTCCACTCGTTAGTTAATTAACCAGGATAGGGATCTACTGAGCATCTACCCTGTGTTAGGGGATGAAGCGCGCCAGGGGATGAGGTGGTCAACGACGTAGACAAGGTGCCTGCATACATGGAGCCTGCACTCTGCTGACGGAACATGTTGTCTCCTCCCGGACTCACGTTCCTTTTGCTTGCACCCCGTCCTGCAATATCCCCTGATTCAGTGAGTCCCTCCACCTTTGGAAGACTCAGCCCCTGTGCATGCTTTTGTCGTAGGATTTATTTATGTCACACATTTTTTTTTTAAAGTCCATCTTCCCCGCTAGACTCTGAGCTGCTTACAGTAAGGGGCAGGTCTTTTCACCAATGGACCCTCCTAAAATGCCGAGGACAGTGTTAGATGTCAGGTTGATTTGAAGGGGCTTGACCCAAAATTTAGGCATCGGGTCAGAAAACTGGGTTTCTAAAGTTAACCGTGAGAAAGTTACTGTGTGCAAGTATATTCTTTCTGTTTATGCTTGCCAATTTTCATGATATTTAAAGCTCATTTTTAATGTATTCTTCTGTAATATACCTCACGTACTATTGATTTTCTGTTTTAAAAGAATTATTTCTATTCCTAAAGATGATAATGTTCTCATAAATATATATTCAATACTCATCTTTAAAGCCCCTAACCCTTACACTGTAGCTAATGGCTTAAAACGTATCTTCGTTATTTGTATTCTGTTTGCAAAGAAATCATTCTTTCCCTGAAGATTTCTGTAAATAGCAAGAAGGTTTTCTTTCTCCTAGTGAGTCGCAAGTAAATGCATTGTAGACTAAGGAAGGACCATATGCCCCACTCCATTCCTAATGCCATGGTTACCAGAAAACCATTTCTATGCAGGATTGTCTTTCAGTGGTCTCAAGATCTATTGCTCCCAATACAACTTAATATAGGATTTTTATATTGATTTATTCTGGGTGCAATGAATTCTATGCGATAGTTTACAAGAGTCTCCTTCCTTCCTTCAATAGCTAGAATGACTATGACTCCTTCATCTGTTTGACAAGAGCAATTCATAAATTCTGCACTGAATTTTTTACTGGGGACACTAAAGATAACTGGATTGTAATTAGGCAAATAAGAGTTGCTCTAAGTTTATGACCTGAAAGAAATAAGGATAGTACTAGTGAAAATCAGGCTTTCTGGCTGATAAGATTTTAATAAGAAAATGAGACATTCTGAGACTGGAATTATATTTCTTTAAACTGCATATGCTAACTACCATCACCATGAACTCAGTGGAAGGAGAAACTAACGATGCTAATCCTCAAACCCAAACATGTTTTCTATCAGAGTTTTGATTTTAGTTTATGTCTGTGAGGACTCATCAAACCATTACACCCGCTTTGACTTAGGCAAGGAAGGAAGTAACAGATTTTAATGTGCATACATCTCAGGGCGCCCGGGGGGCTCGGCTGGTTGAGCATCTCACTCTTGATTTCAACCCAGTCATGATTTCAGAGTCATGAGATCGAGCCCCGGGGATGGACTCCACACTGAGCTTGGATCCTGTTTAGGATTCTCTCTCTTCCTCTGCCCTTCCCTCCTCCCTTTCTAAAAATAAAAGAAAAAATGCATGCATCTCTAACTGCAGGTCTAAGATAATTTCACATATAATCACATTTAAGCTACCTTTTCTGGCTCCGTCTTGCTTGAAATTTTTCCTGCATCATTACCGTATCTGAAAAATAAATTGACCCAGTTTATAATTTTATTAAAATGTAATTTAGAAAATCCTGATCAAAATGTCAATATTCCTTACCCTGGAGCTGGTATTGTTTTCTCATTCCTCTCATTTGTTTCTTGTCCATTAACACTTTCTGCAAAATAGTAAAGAAAAACAATTTAAGGGGTTATCAGCATGTGCCTGTGTGCGTATGTAAAGATGCAGGCATTGCTAGAAACTGAAAATAAATTCACCTGTACTAACATTAACATTCATTTTAATAAAGCATTTTATAAATATAAATATCACCCTACCATTTTTCACTCCACCAGGGCAATTTATCAGAGCCAGAAATAACCACAGCCAAATGTAATAATACTCTTTCCAAATGGAATGTCGGAAGTAACGATTCCCACCATTATGCAGGAAGGTCGATTCTGTCTGAGAATCGGGGCCCATGAGAGGCAGGGAGGGAAAGAGCTCCCTCAGGGGCTGGAGGCTCCGACGGGCATTCTCTCCTTTTTCCAGAGAACGTGGATTCAGCCATTAAAGGAAGATAAAATATGCGGCAATGCCGCTCCCTTGCATAAATACTGGGAACTACAGAAAGGAGAGAGTTAAATGCACGTCCTGCTGGTGTGGCTGGTGGAACCCACGCCAGGCCTCTTGAGCTTCTGGCTGGGGCGCCATGTGATACCGTCGATCTCCAGTCCATGGTTGGTGGATCCACCGAGAGAGGTCATCTGAGTGGCCTCCACCTCTGCCTGGGCACTGATGATCTGCTGGGCCACGGCCTCCACGATGGGCATCACCATGGCAGCGGTTGACGTGTTGCTGAGCCACATGGACAGGAAGGCGGTGCTGCTCATGAGCCCCAGCGTCAGCCTGGAACGAGAGGGCTTTTAGGGGGAAGGGGTCTCCAGCGTCCCTGCTCTGTGACTCTACTGGAAAGGATGCGGCTGCTGGGCTGGGGACAGTTTCAAGACACACGTAGGTTCGGGCTCCTCTCAGATGAGGAACCCGAGGACGGTGGAGCCGGGAGGGGACGGAAGCGGCATTTGGAAGAGGGGTGTTCCTGTGGGACGAGACTCTCTCACCCCAGGAGAGGGGTCAGTTATGACCAACTGCAAGTCAAACTGAGTGTATAACCGCTTACATGTCACGCCAATATCTGAAGGCCCTTGATGAGTGACACTTACCTTGAAATACTACTTAGATGAAATCAAATCAGTTTTTCAATTTAGGGTCCCTTACTCTTTCTTTGATCTTTTGGTCACATCTCTGTGTATTAGTATGTGTGCCAAGGAGGCACAAGGACAAGCGGAGAAATTAATATTTGTAAATCTACTTTTTACCTTTGCCTGCTCTGGTTCGATATATGGTAGGTGGAGGAAAATGGTTAAAATTGCCAGCTGAAATGCAATGTCAGAATTTTCTGTAGATTCTATTATTTGTGCTTTCCCGAATTCGACACTCCTGCCTGTGGTCAAGAACTGGATGTGTGACATTGTCTTCTCTTATAAATAGAGTAGTTCTTCTCCCTTAAAAATAGCACCCCTCAGATTGTAGGGTTTTTTGTTTTTTTTTTTAATTTTTATTTATTTATGATAGTTACACACACACACACACAGAGAGAGAGAGAGGCAGAGACATAGGCAGAGGGAGAAGCAGGCTCCATGCACCGGGAGCCCGATGTGGGATTCGATCCTGGGTCTCCAGGATCGCGCCCTGGGCCAAAGGCAGGCGCCAAACCGCTGCGCCACCCAGGGATCCTGATTGTAGGGTTTTAAATCATATTTTTAAGCTTTCAAAATCACACTTGGGGAAAAAATATCATCTCTTTTGAGTTGGAAATCCCAGAAAATCATTCAGAGGCAGATCTTTCCATATAGAGCCACTTATGAGATTCTGTGACTCCCTTTGTAGGTAGATCTACAAGACAAAGTCTGCACTCCAGGTTTCAACTTCAGATCAAGTGAATGATTTCTACATATAAAACTTTTTAGATATCTGTTTAAACAAGAAATGGTTCTCGATAAAAACTAAACTAGAAATACTTTTAATTTAAGGCATTGGCAAGACGTGAAATCTTCCTGTAAGAAAAGATGGCGCGCAGATAAGCCTCCGTGGGGAGAATGCCTTCAAAGCCACGTAGTGGCACAACGGGGAGGACTCTGCTCCGCTGTGCAGCTCACTACCCCGTCCCTTGGGGTCACTGAACAGGTGGTCAAGGAAAAGATACACATCTCTATGGCACCCCAAGGGGCAGGAAACACCATTTCATCTCAAGAGTGAAATTCTATTAATACATATATGTCATAGAAATTAAAGTAACGAATATTTTTTTTAAAAATTGGCTCATCTAAGTTATTTTTTGTATTTAACAAAACTGTTTGATTCATAAATGATAAATACAGATGAGGATATATTCTAGGAGGAATTATGCAACATGATTCAATACAATTTTCTTATTTTCCAAGAAAAATGAGAAGGGAAGAACCACCTAAGGCTTCAGAGCTTAACGCTATGATGCAAGTGTTTATGACACTGGAAAAATTTTTTTTTTTAGCTCACATCCATGCTCTTAACAAGAGCTAGAATTAAAACTAAAATAGACAATGTAAAGGGAAAAAAGTATTTATTTCAGCGGGGAAAATCAGTCAACTGAGCGATTTCACACTCTGTAGATGAAATTTCTTAAGTTGGTTGTTTGGTTTCTCAGCAGTTCACTTAAAAAGAAGAATGTTCACCCTGGAATTTTCCTGCACACATCTGTATTTTGCCAGTCACGTCTTTGTCTTTGGTTCTGAACGTCCTCCCTGTGATCAGGGATGCTCTTGAACAAGCCTTGAATGTGAAATCGGCCAAATAAACGAGATAGGCCTGAAATCTACTCTGAAGTCTCTCCGTCCCGTCTGTTGGGGTTCAAGGCTGCTCACTGCGTGTGGAAGGTGCAGGGGTCCTGTGCACTTAGGCCAGCCTCCGTGTAATTAGACCTGGAAGCTCTTGCTGCTATTGTTTCCTCCTACAACACCAGGGCACTTTACATCCCGCTCATATTTGCAGAGGAAAAAAGGCATGAATTACACGGAGATATGAATGACTGCCTGGATGTGCATTACCTATTTAGCTATTTGCTCTGTTTGGAAAGCTCACCTGGAACAGTACGTGGAGTACTTACCATGCTGGGTTCACACCCACTGTCATCACCATCCTCAGAGCAATCCTTTTGTGCAAGTTCCATTTTTCTATTGATGTTGCTAGACAGATGACTCCAATTAGCAGTAGGTGAAAGTCTTTGAAATAAGCAGATGCCACCTGAAATTATAATTAAACCCATGATTATTTATTTATTTATTATTTTTTAATAAATTTATTTTTTATGGGTGTTCAATTTGTCAACATACAGAATAACACCCAGTGCTCATCCCGTCAAGTGCCCACCTCAGTGCCCGCCACCCGGTCACCCCCACTCCCCACCCACCTCCCCTTCCACCACCCCTAGTTCGTTTCCCAGAGTCAGGAGTCTTTCATGTTATGTCTCCCTTTCTGATATTTTAATTATTTATATCGGTAGGAAAACAGTATTGCCCAAGAAAGCATTGTCCACTTTGCTCTATTCAAACGTTACTACCTTGATGGAGCTCCTTCCTGCTTCTCGCACGGTTATTATTGGATCTGTGTCTTCCTAATCTGCCCCTTACCATTGTCACAGCTAGTTTTCTTAAGTGTAAATCTTTTTTTTTTAATTTTTTATTTGTTTATGATAGTTACAGAGAGAGAGAGAGAGGCAGAGACATAGGCAGAGGGAGAAGCAGGCTCCATGCACCGGGAGCCCGACGTGGGATTCGATCCCGGGTCTCCAGGATCGTGCCCCGGGCCAAAGGCAGGCGCCAAACCACTGCGCCACCCAGGGATCCCTTTTTTTTTTTTTTTTCTTAAGTGTAAATCTAATCACATCACCGTGCTCCTTGTACGCCTTCACTGGACTCCACATCTTTTAAGACTTTATACAAACTTCCCACCCAACATGTCTTCTTCTTTTTTTTTTTTTTTAAAGATTTTATTTATTTATTCATGAGAGACACACAGAGAGAGGCAGAGACACAGGCAGAGGGAGAAGCAGGCTCCATGCAGGGAGCCCGACACCGGACTTGATCCTGGGTCTCCAGGATCACGCCCTGGGCTGAAGGTTGCACTAAACCGCTGAGCCACCTGGGCTGCCCCCCAACATGTCTCCTAAGATTCTTCATCACCTAGTCCCATCTCACTTTTCCAGCTTAGTCTGTTAGTGCTCGGCCAACTTTTCCTACGTGTGACATTCTCTGGTCACAGAGATGCTCTAACACTTGCCTGTCATTTAACCTGGAATGACTGTCTTCTCTTTGGTGATCCAACATCTTCCTTCATGGATGAACTCAGGCGTCAGTTCTAAGATTCCTTCCCTGACTGTCCTCAACTTGGTTGGATGCTACTTCCTTTTGTCAGAGCACATCTTAATCTATACAGTGATCATTTATTTACTTAATTATCCCCTTTATTAGACTAGACATATTTTGAAGGCAGAGATGTATCTTCCTAATCATTGAATTTGTGGACTTGGCCCATGCCCGACACATACTGGCACCCAGGAGATATTGAATTACTAAGTCCCTAGACTCAAGCTTAGAGGTTATTAGGCAAGAAAAACAAGTTAACAGACTGCAGTAAGGCATCATAGGTGGATGGGACATGTTTCTTCAAGGTAGAGTTGAGGCTCAAAGAGTAAGCGACCACCTTTATCTAGGGGAATTGGCAAAGTCTTCTTAGAGGACCCAATACTCAAGTTGACTCTTAAAAGATGAATAGACATTTGAATTTTTCTCTTCTCATCTCTTTTACAGTTTTGCTCATGAAAATAAGACCCACTCACCCTATTCTCACAGTCTGAGAATTCAATGAAAAAAATAAATGCAGAATGACTTCAAAAACACAAAGGAGCAGCAAGCCATAATTAGTAAGTACTTAAACACAGAAGGAAGGCCAGGACCATGAGACATTCTTATTGTGATCTCTTTAGATTATGCTAACAGTTGGCTGACTTGGTCTGTAAAAGGTCAGATAATAAATGTTTTAGACTTTGTGAGCCTTATTGTTTCTATTGCAACTACTCAACTTGTCTTTGTAGCAAAAAAAGCAGCCAAAGAAAATATGTAAATGGATGACTATGGCTTTGTGTGTTTCCAATAAAATTTTATTTTAAAAGTTGGGTAGCGGGCTGGATTTGGCCCTCAGATTCATAGTGTGCCAATCTCTTCATAGACTATGTAAACAAAAAATGGCCTCTAGCCCAATTGTCTAAGTGAAATCAATTGCAGTTTAAGGAGGAATTTTCACATTCTTTGCTTTTCATTGTATTACCCATACTTTGGGTTTCATCAGGTTAGTGTATTTGTAGCACATTAGTCACAAGCATATGTGTTTCTTTATAGCCTACAGACATAGGAGGTAATAAGAGAAAATGCTACTGGTTTGAAAAGGTCACTGATATTTTTGAGGCAAAGTAGGCATGTCAAATAAAATTCCTAATGAAATTTGAAATCTATTTTTAAGATCAAGATAGTCCTATTTCTGTCTCAAAATGGGATTTCATAAAAAAAAATGCAGTTTTGCAATCACAGCACCTGGGTTCTCTCTTGGCTATAAAATGTACCAGTTCACACGCTTTCTACAAGTCAATATGCTTGCCCATAAAAGTTTAATAATACTGCACATCAGGTTTGTGAATTAAATGAGATTTTTTAGAAAAGCTCTTAGTAATAATGCATATGATTAGAAATAATTCTATTATATCATATATTTTGCTGTTTTAAAAAATATTTATTTATGCTTTGTTACTAATTCCAACGGTCAAGTCCCAGTTTTCACATTAATTGACCTATTAGCAGATTTGACACATTTGATCATTGCCTCGTCCTTAAAACATTTCTTCACTTGGATTCCAGGATTCCACACTCTCCTGGCCTTCCTTCTACCTCAATAACCTATCCTTCTCATTCTTCTTTGCTACTACTTTCTCTTCTCATCAATCTCTTAATATTTTAGTTTTCCAGAGCTTGTTCTTTGTCCTCTTTGATTTTTTTAAAGATTTATTTATTTATTCATTTATGATATATATATAGAGAGAGAGAGAGAGGCAGAGATCCAGGCAGATGGAGAAGCAGGCTTCATGCACCAGGAACCCGATGTGGGACTCGATCCCGGGACCCCAGGATCGCGCCCTGGGCCAAAGGCAGGCGCTAAACCGCCGAGCCACCCAGGGATCCCCGTCCTCTTTGATTTTGTTTTGTTTTGTTTTAAATCTTCACTCACTCTCTAAATCACCTCATCAAATTTTAGGGCTTTCCATACCGTCTATTTGCTTGACAATTCTCAAATCTGTATTTCCAGCTCAGGTCTATTACATAAACTCTGGACTCATTTGTATTTAACTGCCTCACCAACACCTTCACTTAGACATTAGTTATTTCAAACTTAGTGTCAAGCTTTGTACTCCCGGTGTCAGCCTCTCTTTTGCAAGAAGCCTGCTCTGCTCATAGTTTCCCCATTTCAACTGATAGCAACTCCATTTTTCCAGCTGCCAAGTCGAAGAGTTTTGAAGCATCCTCGAATCCTTTTTATCTTCCCTGTCATATGCCGTATCGAATCATACAGGAAATTTTGTTGGTTTTAATCTTAAAAATACATTAACAATAGATTCAATATCCCCATTACTATTCCTGGTCTGAATTACCACGGCCTCTCAAATGGATTATTGCAATAACCTGCTACCCGTTTCCTTCTTTCTGCCTTATTTCTCAACACAGCAGTCCAAATTATCCTTTTAAATAAAAGTCAAACTGATAATGTCACTCTTCTACTTAAAACTCACTAGACGGTCTCATTTCATTGAGAGTCACACCTTTGCGGTGGCCTACCTTGGCCCTCGGAAGTCGAGTCCCTCTGCTAATGATCTCCCTGGAGATCAACACCTCCCTCCTGTCCTCGCCTGCTCTCCTCACACCACAGACACGTACCTGCCTCGACATCTTCGTGGTGGGTGTTTGCCCTCAGCAATGGGTGTTCCCCCGATGGCCACACGATGAACTCCCTCATGTTCAAGTCTTTGTTCAAGTACTGACACCTTATCGAGGTCTACTCCGATCATCCTATTTAAGACTGAAACTCTCCTGATCTCCATTGTCCTGTTGCATTTTCTCATGACACCAATTACCTCCTAACTCACTGTAATTCACCTATACATTAAGGTATATTGTCTCTTCTCTCCTAGGAAGACGAGGACTCTTGTCTGTATTTACTCATTAATGTATTCCCAAGAGCCTAGCGCGTATTTATCAAACGACTGAGGAAATATGTGACATGACATCTGCATATGCATATGCACATATACCTCCACTTTTATGGGTGTAAAATTCATGTATAAACATATGCTCAATGACACTAATAATGATGTCTGTTTTGGAATATCTAACCGGGCACACTAAATATTTAGCATTTCAGATTTTATTCAACAGACACGAGAAAATTCAATACTTGTTGATATTCTTTGGTACAAGGTGCTCGGTAAGATATAGACATTTAGCATTGTCTTAATAAATACAGAAAGTGCGATTAAAACTATGGTGGCCAAAGAGGAGGCTGTGGAGGGCTCTGGGCTTAGGGGAGGATACCAAAGACTCACGATTGTCAATGGCTCTCAAGGAGCTGAGATTCAGTACGCTTCCGTGGGCTGGCATGAGAGTCCAACACCTTTGACTGTGGGTATTAAAATTCATAAGAATACTTGATGCGTCGTATGCATTAGCATTACACATCTACTATTGGCTTGACTCTCACAACCTCCCCTGGATTGTGTGGCACTGTCATTCCCTATTCGTAGGTGAAAAAAAAGAAGCGTTGCCGAGGCACAGATCAGGGTCATATAAGTAATTAGTGGTGAATATTGGGTGGGTTTTTTTATTATTATATCTTTATTTGACACAGAGAGAGAACATAAGCAGGGGAAGCAGCAGAGGGAGAGGGAGGAGCAGGCTCCCGGCCAAGTAGGGAGCCTGACGCAGGACTCGATCCCAGGGGCCTGAGATCACGACCTGAGCCGAAGGCAGACGCTCAAGCGACTGAGCCCCCCGGGGCGTCCTGAATATCAGGTTTTAGGCTCAGATCTTCTAACTCTCTAGACCTTTCCCTGTACCTTTGGTCAGATATTTCCCAGTAAAAGATCAGTCGTACTGTCTGGAAAGAGGATCACAACGCTGAAGAGAAGTCGTCTACACTAAAAGACCTAAGGACTTTGATTTGCTGTAAATTCCCATTAAGCTTAAAAAAAAATCACACAAAGTTTAAAATGAATTTAGGCTGAAATAGCGGAGGGGAGATAGACTCACTTAGCTTTGCAACAGTCCAAATGTGTCTAGAGTGACCTATTCACTGCTGCCAGTGTGTAAATAATAGTGCTGACTCGTGTGCACCGAGCGCTCCCCACGTGACCCCCGTTACACTTATTAACTAGTTAATCTGTAAGCGTCACTGACAAACCAGAGGCGGTTCCAGGAAGGGGAGTGAAGATGCTGGTGATGCTGCGGGGGTGGGGGTTGAGGAAGGGAGCTGAGGGGTGCGGACCATAGGACCATACAGACGAGGTGGGGAGGCGGCAGAAGGAAATGACAGCTATCCCCATCCAAGCAACACTGTCCTGTGGAAGGCGAGGGGGTTTTTGTTGTTCTTGTTGGCTGTGTGCGTGCGTGTGTGTGACCTGGGATGTTTAGAGGAACGCTGAGCGTCAAAGTGACTGAGTTTCACACTTGAGCTCAATAAAGATAAGTGACTTGGGCCCCCGGGGGGCTCGGCAGTTGAGCGTCTGCCTTGGGCTCAGGGCGTGACCCCAGGGTCCCGGGATCGAGTCCCGCATCAGGCCCCCTGCAGGGCGGCTGCTTCTCCCTCTGCCTGTGTCTCTGCGTCTCTGTGTCTCTGCGTCTCTGTGTCTCTCGTGAATAAATAAATAAAATCTTAAAAAAAAATAAATACAGGTGAATGACTTAAATATTAAAAGTTTTGAAAAATAATATGCATTTTCGTGTGGGCTGTTGTAGGCCCACACACAGGAAGCCTTTATTTCCTGAGTGACCTCATCTGTCAGGAATCCTGGAGGGAAGTCCCCGCCCAGCAGCCAAGGTCCGGCGGCTGGCCAGCGGGCCGAGGCTGACGTCGGGGTGCGGGCTCGGCCTCCGCAGCCCCCGGGGCCAGGGCCAGGGTCCCTCTGGCAGCTGTTGCGCCGCCCGGCTCCCCGGCTCTGTCCTCCTCTAACCTGTGGGCACGGAAACGCCCCGACTCCGGGGAGCCGGTCTCTATCTCAGCCTCTCTCTAAATAGTCGCCCTAGTCAGTTCTGAAGCCCGAAGAGCCAAGCACGTCCCTGCTGAACCTGAGGGTCCTCGGGGCGAACCCCCCAGGCCGCGGGGCGGGCCCCATAGGGACACGTCGTCCCCGAGAGCTCGCCAGGCCCTTCACCGAGAGCCCGCAGGCACTCCCGGGGTTCCGGGGCCAGGCCCAGGCGCTGTGGGGTGGCGGGCCCCAATCCTGGAGACCCTGCCCCCCGCGAGCGGGCCGTGCAGGCCAGCGTGGAGGTCAGGAGGGAAGGGGAACGGCAGTGAGGACAAAGGAACAGGCGGATCTGAGATGCAGAGAGATGAAAGCAAAAGCAAAAAGATGAAAGCAAAAGCAAAAAGAGATGAAGGACACATGAAAACAAGGGAAAACCCAGAAAGATTCTTGTCCTGCATCACGGGTTGGTAAAAAGAAAAGTCTGCACCCTGTGGCCAGACAGGCGCCCCATGGCATTGGGCTGTAGCCTAAGACCTGAGTCCACAGGCGCCGGACTGCGGGCCTGGTGCCCCAAGGACCTGGGCGCTGGGTGCTGGGCGCTGGGCGTTGGGTGCTGGGCGTTGGGCGTTGGGTGCTGGATGAGGGCACCCTGGGGCGGCTCCTCGAGCCGGGTGGCCAGGCCTGTGACGGGAGCCCCGAGGTCACCGGAGCCTCAGCCTGCGTCGGGGGTTGCACCACCTGGCGGGACTAAAGTCCTTGCAGCAGAGCAGATGGGTCACACGGCAAAGTTCATTGGGCTTTGTCTCTGGAGGTGGCAGGAGCGTGGACAAGAGAACACAGTGGCCTTGTCCTCATTAAACACAAACATTGCTTTTTTACATGGTGTGAAGCCAAACTGCTGAAAAGCAGCAGCTTATGCAGGACGTGAAAGGCTTGGTCCTGTCGTTGGGAGGTGGGTACAGGTGGGTGCAGGCAGGTGGCAGGTAGGTGGAGGTGGGTGGAGGCAAGTGGAGGCAGGTGGCAGGTGGGTGGAGGTGGGTGGAGGCAGGAGGAGGCTGGTGAAGGCAGGTGGCAGACAGGTGGCAGGTAGATGGAGGTGGGTGGAGGCAGTGGCAGACAGATGGCAGGCAGGTGGAGGGGGGTGGCAGGTAGATGGAGGCAGGTGGAGGCAGATGACAGACAGGTGGAGGTGTGTGGGTTCAGGTGGGTGGAGGTGGGTGCAGGTGGAGGCAGGTAGGGGAGGGTGCATGCAGGAAGGTGGAGGCAGGTGCAGACAGGTGCAGGCAGGAACGTGGAGGCAGGTGCAGACAGGTGCAGGCAGGTGTAGGCAGGTGGCAGGTAGGTGGAGGTGGGTGGGTGCAGGCGGATGGAGGCAGATAGAGGCGGGTACAGGCAGGAAGGTGGAGGCAGATGGAGATGGGTGCAGGCAGGTGCAGGTGGGTGCAGGTGGATGCAGACAGGTGGAGGTGGGTGCAGGTGCAGGCAGCTGCAGGCAGGTGCAGGCAGGTGCAGGCAGGTGCAGGCAGCTGCAGGCTGCCCTCCCACGCAGCCCTCCCGCCCTGGGGGGCGCAGCCCGGGGGGTGTGCGGCCGGGGGCGCCTGCGCTGCTGGTGCTGGGCGGGGGTGCGGGGGCTCCGGGCTGGGTGTCGGGGTCCGGAAGCGGCCGAGGGGCGCCGGGTCCCTTGCGCTCCCCCCGGGGAGGACCCACCTCCTTGGAGGCCGTGATCCCGAAGAGCGGAAACAGGAGTCCGGGCAGCAGGGCGGTGACAGGCAGCGGCAGGGCCTCCGTGAGCCAGAGCGCGGCCACCACGGCCAGGGTGTAGGCGCATTCGGCCTCCTGCGGGCGGAGCGGGCGAGAGGCGGTGAGGCGGCGCGGCGCACCCGCACCCGGACCCGCACCCGCTCCCGGACCCGCACCCGCACCCGCACCCGGACCCGCACCCGCACCCAGACCCGCACCCGCATCCGGACCCGCACCCGCACCCGGACCCGCACCCGCACCCGCACCCGGACCCAGACCCGCACCCGCACCCGGACCCGCACCCGCACCCGGACCCGCACCCGCACCCGCACCCGGACCCGCACCCGCTCCCGGACCCGCACCCGCACCCGCACCCGCACCCGGACCCACACCCGGACCCGCGCGCGCACCCGGACCCAAACCTGCACCCGGACCCGCACTCGCACCCGGACCCGCACCCGCACCCGGACCCGCACCCGGACCCACACCCGCACCAGCACCCAGACCCGCACCCGCACCCGCACCCGCACCCGGACCCACACCCGAACCCGCACCCGCACCCGCACCCGGACCCACACCCGGACCCGCACCCGCACCCGGACCCGCACCCGCACCCGCACCCGGACCCGGACCCGCACCCGGACCCGCACCCGCACCCGGACCCGCACCCGCACCCGCACCCGGACCCGGACCCGCACCCGGACCCGCACCCGCACCAGCACCCAGACCCGCACCCGCACCCGCACCCGGACCCACACCCGGACCCGCACCCGCACCCGGACCCACACCCGGACCCGCACCCGCACCCGCACCCGGACCCGCACCCGGACCCGCACCCGGACCCGCACCCGCACCCGGACCCGCACCCGCACCCGCACCCGGACCCGCACCCGCACCTGGACCCGCACCCGCACCCGGACCGGCGCCCCGCCCCCCGCAAGCACTCCTAGCCACCCCCCAGCACCCCCCCAAACCCCCGGCCCCCCAGCCCCCCCCAAAACCGAGCCCAGAAGGCGGGTAACTGCAGGAGCCAAACCCTGGAGCCCGCGAGGAAGGCGACGCCAACCAGGTCCTCATCCGCCGGGCTCCTTCACCTCCCCGTGGGGGGGGACCGCGCACAGCTCCTGGCTCCCCCCGGAGCGTGCGCCCCTGAGCCTGCCCCCGACATGCACCCCCGGCCTAGAGCCTGTGCACCCCTGAGCCTGCCCCCCACATGCACCCCAGCTCCAGGCCTGCACCCAGTCACGGGCTGCCTCCCCCGGGGCCGGTCGCACACGCTGCCAACTGCACCTCCTAGGCCCATGGCCCGCCGCACGTGGGCCTCCCTGTCCTCCCATCACCAGGGAGACGTGGACCCAGAGAGAACTTTGCTGCGCGTGGTCTCCGAGGAGGGAGGCCGGCGCCCGGCTGGGTGCCCGGGTGAGGGGATCAGACCCTGAGGGGCCCCCAGGGTGAGGGCCTCCCGCGCAGCGCCCTGGGGGCTGAGCCCCTGGGCAGGCACAGGAGGCCCAACAGAAAGAAGATTCTTAACAGTGTCTGTGAAGGGATCAAATTGTGCGTTTCTGTTTTAGGGCAATGATGGGAGAGGGTTGAGATCCGGATTCAGGGTGGGGGTGCGGCCTCGCCCCCTCCCGCAGTCACGACACACCCACAACTACACGGGAGATCATTTCTCCTGGAAGTCTCTGCAAATCGCCCAAGAAACTAAGAAATCCCCTAAGAAGCAGCTGAACGGCTTCCTTCGTCACAAAGGATGCAGGAGCCGCATCCAGAGGGACGGACAGACAGATGCGGTCCTACCAGATCCCCCATGTGCCTGCGGTGACTCAGCATTGGGAGGAACCTCCAGGTCTGGGGTTTCTTCCTGAGCAGTGGGGGGTTTGCGCCCCACCCCAGGCGCCTGACTCCGGGATCTGCACCAGGGAGACCAGCTCCCCGAAGGTCTGGCTTTGAAAACCCATGAGGCTGAGGTTCTGGGGAACCGGGGGCCATGGGCGTGGAGAGTCCCCTCTGCTCCTGCCCCACTCGTGCCCCCAACACTGAGCCCCAACAGCAGTTAGAAGGTGCCTAGAGCACCCGGGCAGGGGCGCTGTTCGCTAGCCTTACGTGTCACCCCGAGGGGCAGTGCCTGCTAGGGCGGGGTCTGGGGGTGCAGGTGCCACTTGGCGCCCCTCCTTTGCCTTGCTAACGCTAGTGGGCCTGCCCCACTCCCATCCTGCCTGCACCTCCCGGGCACGCCAGCGTGGGACAGGCCCCTGGGCTCCGGGAGGACAGCGCTCCTAGGCCCTGGCGGCCCTGCCGGGGCCTGGCTGCACCCGATGCGGGGCGTCCCCCACAGTTCAGAGTCGTGTGAGCACGTGTAGACGGAGATGGGATGCGTGTCACGTACACACGGATGCCGTGCGGGTTTTCTCCCTACGTATAAACACATGCACACGCAGTGGAATCCCCTCAGCCCTACAGAGTGCTAAGCTCGCCCAGCTGGGCACCACGAGTGGCCCTCAAGGTCTATGGTCAGCGACGTAAGTCACACAGAGAAACACAAGTGCCACACGACTTACTTATGTGTGGGAGCGAATAAACACGGAAACAAAGGAAATCAAGCCAAGCCAAGCTCATGGACAAAGAGGACGGCCTGGAGGCTGCTAGAGGGGAGCGCGCTGGGCAGGGGGGCCAAAGGCGCGGGAGGGGGTCAGAACGTGCCAAGTTCCACTTGTAAAATAACGAAGCCACGTTGCATGTACAGTACAGTGACCGCGTCGATAATGACGCATTTCGAATTTGCGAGATGCTAGGAACGTAAATCTCGTAGGTTCCTATCATGAGAAAAAACATGCTGATTCTGTATGGCTGCAGGTGGCACCAGGGCTTCCCGCCGTGGTCGTTTCATGACGCAGACAAACGTGCCATCGTTAGGCTTCATTATACCTGAAACTAACGCACTGTCGGGTATCGATTATGTGTCAATACAAACGCTTGAAATGTATTCTTCTACGTGGCTTATAGAAATGATTCTGAAGTGAGAGCCCCTGGCCCGTCCTAAGTGATCAACAAGTCACGTCTATTCTGTGGCTTTGTTTTGCTCTCACGGGGCTTAATCTCTGCAAATTCTGAGCTGCCTGTGAAAAATGTACAAAAACTGCTCTGAGTTTAATGAGGGGTTTTATTTGTGGTTTTCCCAGGGCAGCAAAATTTCTAGCTCTGCTCCCCTCAGACGCCCCCTCGTAGGGTGTTTGCTCACCCAGCAGCCCTGCACCTCCGGGCAGAGGCCTCAGAAACCCTTCGGAAGCTGCGACCATGCTACGTCCTCACTGTATCTTTTGAAAGGAGGAAGCAGAAAGGGGTTCGCAGGCTGACAGTTTTATGGAAAGTCCCGTAACCTTGACAATAAAGCAATGGAACAAAGCCGGGCCTTGACTGAAACTTCCTAATTTGCCCTGGAGAGAATTTGTGAATACGAGCTCAATTAGGTCATTAATTAATTTTTAAAAATATATTTAATCTACTTATTTTAAAGACAGAAAGAGGTGAGCAGTGGGGAGGTGCAGAGGGGGAAGCAGAGACCCTCCAGCAGATTCTGAGTTGAGCCCGGAGGCCGAGGCGGGGCTCCATCCACAACGCCGAGGTCATGGCCTGAGCCGGGACCCCGATAGCCTGGGCCCCCCAACAGCCCCCCGCGCCCCCCACCAGCCTAGCTGTGCATGCCCGGGCCTGTGGTCCTCCTGGCGGACATGCAGGGATGCCCCGAAGTGCCTCCTCCCGACCGTGCTTCCCGTCCTGCTGATGAGAACCTGGGTCTCCAAGATGAGTGGACCCCGGCACCAGCCCGCCTCCCCATCCTCATCGTTCTCCCTCTCTGACCCGCCTCCCAACCTGCACCCCCTTCTTCCCAGGCCGCCCCACAGCCACCCCGTCTTCCAAGGATCCACTTGGAGTTTAAGGGACCGGCCACCTGACGACGCTGGGAGCACCAGCTCCAGCTGAGCGCGAACAGAAAAGTAAATAGGAAACCCGGCGCCAGCTGCCACCAGCCCGGCCTCATCCCAACACGGGCCTCCTCAGCGGACGTCACCGGCCGCTCACGCGTGGCCACTTTAAAGCATGATCAAAAGCAAAATTCCAAGTACTGAATTATTAGTTTCCCTAACAACGTTCCTATTTCACCTGGCCCTGCCCTGATGTGAAATCAAGTCAGGGATTTTCAGTCATTTATTGGAAATGATCTGAAATCCTCATCTCGCATTTGAGGCCCTGTCCACTCTGACTGTACGAAGACCTAGCCCACGACCTCCTGGCATCACGTCTCTATTCCTAGAGTTGATTTACATCCTTCTCGGTGTCTGGGCTCTGACCCCCGCTCCTTATCACGCAGCCTCCTCCTGAACTTGAGTAGGTAATGGTGAGCCAGGATCCTGCGGGGAAGTCCCCAGGGGCCCTTAGTCACGGCTCGACCTGCCTGTAACCGCACTCTGGACTCTTGGACCCTGCTCCACAATTTAGATGAAGCAGTTGCAAGCTGATGACCAAGCCCAACAGGAAAATACGACGTATTTGACTCACGATGGAATGTGTGTGAGTGTGTTTCCTTAGAATTATGATTTATGAACCAACACATTTCATATTAAAAATAAAATCGGAATTTCTGGCTTTCCTTGAAAAACTGAGGAATTTGGTAATGCTAGGACCATATTCTACGTCAACAGTTCTTTGCACTCAAAGGGAGCCCCCCCTTCAGAGACAGGCTTGTGCTTTTCAGTTGTGCACGCTCCCCGTCACTTTTCTGGCTTCCCTGCTTGGCCGTTGTGGGCATTTGAATAAAATCTCTTGTAGTAAAAATGCTGCCCAGATACCCTGCCTTGCGAGTAGATCTTGCCCTACCGTTCCAGAATCAGCACGCGGGCTGTCCGTTTGCACTTCTCTGCGCCCCCCCCCATGTGGCCCCTGGACCCACAGCTCACACAGGCAGACATCAGGCCCTCCCCAGACTGAATTGGGAGCAGGCTTCCCAGGTGACCCCTGCACAGGTTGGAGTTTGAGAAGCACCGGGTTACCTCCTCCCCAGACCCTCCCCTTTATCTCTAACTCTGGGTCCAACT